GTGAGTCTAGCAGCATCTTCCCTCGGCACTGCTTATTTACAATAAATAAATAAATAAAATATTCTGCTTGGTGTTTTTTTGAAAAGTAAAATGCCAAAACCGTGGATTTTTGACATACTTTACATATACTTCTGTAATAATGTTATGTGGGTGGACAATTCTGCTGGAAATGTATCATTCTGCATTCTAGTACACTCTGAGGCACCCAAAGTACCACATGAATGCTCTGCTGGCAATATAAATATAAACAAACCATTTTTAGCACTTCAGTAGGGCTGTTGTCTTACAATACACTTCCACAGTTTGTCTCTATTCCTGCTAAAAGCTCTGTTTGCTCTGGAACATCCGGGTAGGCACATGTAAGGCAGTGAAAGAGGTAAAAAAGCTGCAAATAAAGGTTTGGAGGGCAACTTCTCAGAATCATTTTCCATTGGATGAGTAGATATTTTAACACCTGCTTTCATAAAAATTAGATCATGCTATGGTAAAACAGTCTTGCCTGAAAATCAATGACAGAATAACTTATCTTCTTTTGTTCAAAATTAGTATGTAAACATATCTTATGAATTTCTACACTCAATTTTTGTGACCATAAATAGATCTGCTCTGTCTGGAGCTGCAAAACTGTGATGCATATGTACATTGTGACTGATGTATGTAGGGCTTGGTTGGCAAACAAGTTGGACTTGCATGCTTATAGGGATTTAACTTTGACCCTCAATTAAAAATCTCTTAGACATGGAGCAAATAATGGAAAACACTAACACTCCCTATCACACTGGAAAAAATATTTTTGTTTTGGATGGCTTTGCACATGCCAAAAGAAGCATGCAGGGTATGTTGCTCTGGTTGCTACAAGTAAAATACTCTATAATTTTAAAAAGGTTAAGTAATCTTGTAAAATTCACAAGTCAGCAAACACTGACTGTGCCTTGGAATTACCCTGTAGCCATGTCATAAATATTAAACAATGTGATATGGTTGGATGACAGCTAGTACAGTTTCATGAGAGATTATGACCATGGACAGGAAGAGAGAGTGTATAGTATTTTCTGTGTGTTCACAGGGATTGTTCAGCAGTCCCTTTGGGCACCCCAAAGGAATTGTACCTGTCAGGTGAAACCAGGAAAGGAATAAATACATTTTGTAAATTCTGATAGGATTTAGACAGGGGTTTGATACTTTGAAAAAGTGTAGTGAAGAAGGTTCCAACAGAAAACTTTAGGCGCCTTTGACATGCTAATACTGAAAACTGAGTTTGAACTTTTTCCAGGATTAGCCAGTAAAAGAAAGAAAGGAGGAAGGGATCTAAGTACCTGAATTTTCTTGTAACTCTTATCCCAAGTGATTTCCTGGGGTCTCAGGGAAGAGGACAGATTTTTCATGTTGGATCCATACTTTCCCTTACAGGCGGAGCTGGAGTGTTAAAGTGAGATATGCTCTTCTTGTTTTATTTTTACTGATCTTATTTTATTGGCATAGCAGTTATATATAAAGCAGTTGGTTGTTATGTCAAAGTAATTCAGTTGAGTCATCACTCAGGAGAGCCTGCAAAGCCAGGGAAAAACAGAATACAACTAACAAAACACTCACTGATTTGAAAGTTGTAAATACTGCTATGAACCTTAGATATAATATGAAGTTATATATTCCTCAGTGAATAGTATGAAGTTATATATTCCTCAGTGAAAGCTATATGTGCTTCCTTCTTTTCATTTATTACAGCATAACAGCATGCATGTTGTTAATAAATTGAATAGTTGTTGTGACTAGCTAATAACTGATGTATTTGTACCTGTACCTGTACCTGTGCACTGAAAGTGTCCTTAACATGAGGAATCTACTCCAAAGAACTTCTAACTTTATCAGATTTGAGAGCAGAGTATAAATTATTGATTTTCTCTTTAATTTTTAAAAAACTGATTTAAAAAATGGTTAGCTATTTATTTTCTTTTGGACAAAATCATGTCTGTAACAATAAATATTTGACAATCAACAGATACTTAAAGAAAGTAAATTACTGGTTTCTACTTTAAAATTACATTTTTATTTAATAAAATTTTCGGGTATAAAACTGTTTACATTTTCATATATGAATTTAGACATAAACCCTTGGGTTTTGTTCTTAATAAATTAACACCTCAGCTATTTTTGTTTCTAAAACAGCATAACCTCAAAACGTTTACATCACTTTCAAAATGAAGTGTGATTTGTAGCATGAATAGTGCTTATGCTTTATAAATTTCCTTCTTAATAATGAATGTCAGTGCGTGGACTTTCTACACGAAGAATGCATTTTGCTAAAGTTTATCTCCGTGAGCAAAATGCAAACCTCCATGACATACCTCAATTCGTATGAGAGGGCGACATCTTGTGGTGTAATTTTTATTTTCCTGAGAAATGATACCGTGAAATAAGAAATGGATGGGGAGGGAAACCTTTTTCACATATAATGCAATCAAGTATAATTTATATTTGTAAGAATTTCCAATATCCTCTTACTTTAAATAAATTCAGACAAATTCTAATAATGTGTGGGCTTGTTATCATCTCATACACCTATATGAGGTCTACTCCTACTACATGCAATGGCAAACAAGCTTCAGTATCATCTGCTTTTAAAAACAACTGTTTGAATGTCTTCTGGACCTACTGAACATGCCTAATGAGAACAGCTAAACATACACGAACTAACATGCCGCTTTTCAAGGTAGGTCAGGTGTGTTTTCTGGTTTGTTAAGAGAGGAATTAAAACGATGTAAGTGAGTTTCACTGAGCTCATTACCTCAGTAGATGTTTTAAATGCTGATTAGTTAAATAGAGGCTAACGTTACATGAAAAGTTTTTTCAGTATTGTGAGGGAAAGTGCAAATTCCTGCACCTGGGGAGCAACAATGCTATGTACCAGTGTATGCTGGGTGATGACCAGATGGAAAGCAGGTGGGCAGAAAAGGAGCTGAGGGTCCTGTAGGCACTAGGCTTAACATGGGCCAGCAATGTGCCCTTATGGCAAAAATGATTAATGGTATCCTGGACTGTGTTAGGAGTGTTGCCAGTAGGTCAAGGGAGGTGATCCTTCTCCTCTGCTCATCCCTGGTAAGTCCGCACACACCGTCTAGTTCTGGGGGAACCTCCTCAATTTTTGTAAAAAAAAATTGATTGAGGGTGTAAAGAAGATGGAGCTGGGTTCTTTTCAGTGATGCTAGTGACAGGACGAGAGGCAATGGGCATAAAACAAAACACAGGAGGGTCCTTCTGAATATCAGGAAATGATTTTTTAGCTGAGGGTGACTGAGCATTGGCACAGGTTGCTCACAGAGGTTGTTGATTCTTCAGCTTGGCCAACAGCTCTAGGTGGCTCTGCTTGAGCAGGGGATTTGGACAAGATGACCTCTAGAGATCCTTTCCAACTTTAACCATTCTGGGACTTTGTGAGTCTGTGAAGTAAATGTTGAAATTTCTATATTTTTTCAATAACAATATATTATGTATATTTGTTTATTAAAGGTTTGGAAGTATATTACTCAAATTTTGAAAAAGGTTCATTTATTTCCAAAATTAAATTTTCCCTGTAATTCTAGTCTTGTGACTTTGGTGGATTGTTGTCCAAGGTTTTAAATTCCCATTGAAAAAAAAAGATATTTGATACCTGTTTTTCCAGAATTCTGTGTTGAAAGAGCTGGACAGTTTATGTAACACAACCATGTATTGATCTCTTTAAGACCTAATACTTCTTTTCTTTCTACGATTCTTGGGTTACATTACCCTGTTGTTACTTTCTTGCTTAATTACTTGTTGCACACCTGGTACAGTGTATTCGCACTTTCTGTGCTCTGGGAACTGTGAACCTCAGCATAAAAATATTTGCTACTGCAGTAGTTTCATGACATTCTTGCTTGTGAACATACTTGAACAAGGTCAGAGGTACCAGTTATATTTTGCTCTTGGGAAAACAAGATAGTATACACCTGCTGGAGCAACAGCTGTCATAAATAGCAGGGGTCTGATCAAGTAGTCCTGTGGGCTCTGTGAGGGCACACCCAGGATTTCTGCTCAGATTCCATTGGTGCTCTTGTTAAATTTTTCTGTTCTTTTGAGAAATTTCCATTTCATAAAGCTCCAAGACATAAGTCACAGAATTGAATTATTAGCAAGAGATAATGGAAATAATTAATTTGTGACTATGGCAAAGTTCTTGTATTTGTATCCCATTTTGACAGTCAAGTTAAAAGGAGTGAACTGTTGTTACTTTTTGTCACGGTGGGGGCAAGGAGTAAAAAGCATTTGTGCTGAGACTGCTAAAGATTTCTAGCCTAAATGGCATCACATTGACATGAGGCTGTTACTGAGATGATCATTCTGTATACTCTTTATAAGAATACTAACACTGTTGTAATCGGATTAGCAGAACTCAGGCTGTTCTCAAAGGACTTATTATTTGCTAACTTCAGTTTTCTTGAAATCATTTTTCTATCAAGGAGTACTTAGGAGGGCACAAAGTTCTATAAAGTTCCCATGAGACTATTTTGCTGCAAGTGAAATTATTTGGCTTATTGATAATAAGACCCACAGGACTGTTTGGAGTGGCTGTACTTATTTCAGTATGCATTTATCAAGATAACTTTCCCTGAGTTTTCAGAATGAGCTTTTTTCACAACTGAAGCCCATTCTCTGCCTGTCCTCTGGAGAGATCTCTTTCTGTCCACTCACTCTAAAGGAAGCCTTGGAATATAAAACTCCTGACTCGGTGCCTGCCATCCTCCATCATGCTACCTGAAAACACCTCTTGGTATATTTCATTAAGGCAGTCAAAGTATTTTGAAGCTTAATCTGAATAATACAACAACTGAAAGCACTCTATTTCTTCTCTCTCAAGTTTTCACTCCTGTAATATTTAATGGTAAGGCACCTTAAATTTTTCCAAATTTTCCTAGTCCCTCCAGTGACTTTAAACCCATTGCCTAAAATATCATAAAAATAATTGCACAGTTTCTGAAAAAAGTTGTTTATTTTTTTTTTTTGAACAAAATATCTACATTGACATAGATGGCATCATAAATTTCACATATTTTAACACTTCTGTTGGCAGAGAATGTCGGTTTAAGTTCAATATCATACTGTAATACAATAAAAAGGAATTTAAACAAGTCCATGCACAACACATTTATAGATTTTTACCAAAAAGGAAGTACTTTAAGATGAAATTGCCATCAGACAGAATTCACAGGAAGTATTTTGACAACTCACAGACAAGTTATTAATACACTGTCATATTATTTTTTTTCTTTATTCTTGCTGTAGCCTTTAAAAAGCCAGGATCACTAACACACAAAATACTGTATATTATGTTAAACCTTTATGTCAAAAGCTTATGGCACAATTTCTTTTTATACAGTTCACAATTACACATTCATGGAAGTAGCTACTTTAGTCCATTTCATCAGTTAACATCATTGTCATACATTAAAATACAAACATAAGAAATGTTTCTTGCATATTTCACAAAAATGAAAGTGAAGAAGTGCAGTAATATTCAAGAATGTCAAGAATACAAGATGAGCCAACGTTTTTCTGGCATTTAACCCACTGCTTCTAGCAATCTGACCTGCTTCCACAAGCCTTACAAACTGATAGTATTTCAGTAACTACTGTAGGTGACGTGTGTTGCCTGAAGGCACCTTTTCCATAATCACTCCAAAACAGAATAACTATTTTATTATTAACAAGTAGTTTGGTTTGTGATTTATATTTTTCTTCTTAACTGTCTCAAAAAGGAAAAAAGCTATGATGAGCTGATATTGTTCTCATCTAAATAACCATATGATTGTACAGTAAGATGTGGATAAAGTTGTTTTACTATCTCACAGGGGTACTGTAAGAATTAATAGCTTGTTCAGCAGTTTCACAGTTTAAGGCCAAATTCTGCTCTGTTGGATTAGATTAATACCTATGATAGCTCAAATGAGAGCAGAAGTTGCACATAAAGTATGGCTATCTTTTGCAATCAACCATCTCAGCTTGGGCTGGGAACTGTATAAATAATTTAATTTCCATCTAATATAAAATTATTATTGCTAAAAATAATACTCTTTTTTTTTTTTTTTTTAAGGAAGACCTTTTATCTTTCCCTACTGTTAAAAATATATGGTTTTGTACATTTTATTACATTCTATTTTTATCTACATTATCAACCTACAGCTCTGTAAGTGGTTATAGTACAAAGTGGAAGCAATACCTTACTCCTTAAATGTAAAGTGCACATCTAAATCACCTAAATATAAGTCTTCCTAGTGAGTAAACAGAATAATCTCTCACGTATCACAAAGGTTTCTTTGTAAAGCATCCTATGAAAGGGTTTGGAACAAACTCTAATAAAGAGAATCCAAAGTAAATCAATATATGATTGAGTTGGAAAAATAAATCCCATGTTCTTTATCTTCTTCATTGTCCTTCTTGCTTCTCACACCCTGTTACATTTTCCCAGTGTTATAATCTAATCACTCTTTTATCACTTTCAAAATTTCCTATCTGAGAGCATAGACCTTTTCTGCCTTAAGAATGAAGAAAGAATTAGGGCTAAATTTGTTTAACTCTGTATTACTCAAATTTGTTAATGTTTTCAAAACAATGTTATACAACATGTGTGAGAGCAAAAGACTATTGAATGGCTGGGAAAGAGACAATATGAACCAGGTACTCGAGTTATAAGCTAAAATAATCAGGAGTTATTCTGATCAGGCCAGCATTTTTTTTTATGCACTTGTTCCTTCAATTAAGAATTCTTTATTGAATTCAAGTCAGCTATTTTAGAAAGAAATAAAAGAAATGAGCCTGAAAGATAATGTAATTTTTTATGATTGCCTCTTGGTGATGGATTTAGTACTTCAAATAGTCCTTAAACAAAATACTGTTGACTTTGCTGATAGTGGAAGCGAGTTAACATCCCTTGTCATACAATACAGCTAATGATAAGTTTGAGAAAGATTAATATGCTGAAATGTCAGCCATTAGATCATGATACCCCCTTACACAGATGAGCACCTTCATAAGTGAACAGGATTTTTCGGAACATACACATAAAGAAATCAACAAAACCAAGACACAAACTCAGCAAAAAATAATTGTTTAAAGTGAATTGAAATCATGTCAGATCATAAATAAAGTAACACTACATATTAAAAGAAAACTCCTGTTTTAAAATAAAGGAGGATTATACAGCTGCTTTCTGACACATCTGAGCTATTGTTTTAGAATCTAGCTAATCCTTGGAGGAAAACAAAAACAAACTCAACCAAACCCAAGGTTGCTATGTTATAATCCTCAGTTCAGAGTTATATTGCTTCTGTTGCTTTGTATTCAACATGCCTTTGGCAGTGCACCAGACATTTGCCTCCAGCCGATTTTGCTTTTGTATACACATTCTGAGCAACAGCAAATCAAAAATTTAAAATATGTTCAAAATAAAAATACTCTGCAATAAGAAACAGCCTTAGATACTGGACCTAAAATATCTAGTAATTCTAAATGTCAGATTTCCTTATTTTATCATGTTTTTGTTTCTCAGTAGACAAGATTGGCAAAAATAAACACTCTTCCCTACAAGCTATGCCATAAATTTCATCTATTGTGTTACAATTCAAAGAAGCAACTAATATAACTTATTTAATCCTAACCAGGGAGAATCTCTCCAAGAGTTTTAATAGTTTTTCTCCTGTTTGTTAATGTGAAGTACAATAAATGTAAAAGACACTTTAGATCCTTTTTCATGTTTTAGAAGAGCTGCATGTCTTTCCAAAGTTGTGAAATGCTCTTTAAGGAGTATCTAAATCATACCAATATACTTCAGAGAATGAGTCAGAAAACCTGATATATTCATAAATTAAACTTCCTGTATTTATGTAATATATAGGAGATAAACGTGCATAAACACAGCTGTGCTCGTCCTCCAAATGTTTCAGTGAAGCAGTTGACTATTTGCTTTTAGTTTTGGTCCAAGATCTCTTTGCATTGCAAAATGAAGTATTGCAAAATTTTGATGTTTGTCTATCTCACAAGTTGTATGAGTTTTATTAATTGAGAAAAAAAAACCCTTGAAAAATATAAAAAGTATCAAAAAATAATATGTTTCAATTATAAAGGTGTAGGTAATTAAGAGAAGAAATAATCCTTAGCAGGAATCCGTACATTACAAATTTTAATATATTTCTCATGTGATATGCAGACTATTAGGCTGCAGATACCTTGTGCTGTCTGAAGTGATTTCAACATACACCTTCCAGGGGAACAGTAATACAAAGTACATTAAATAACTTATGTAACTTAAGTGTGTCAAATGTGCTCATTGCAAAACCACAGGTACTGTCCTTAAGACAAGAAAAAGTCCTCAAAACTGTAATCTCAAATCAGTAATTTGTCATTATCTTGTAAAATTGTAATAAAGATTACAAATGCTAATCTATTCCGTAATGCTGTGGAACTTACCTTGGGTATTCTGGATCCATTTCTTTAATTAAAAATGCACCAGAATTAAAAAAATTTAAGGAACATCAAAGAGTACTGTGCAATTATACTACTATGTAACAGTATGTATAAATACTTGGCAGTAAAGCTTCAGTAGAGAGTGATTTACAATGAAAAACTTGTTAATATTTATTTTGACACAGACAGTTTGCAATAGCAGATGTATCTTCTTTGGGTGTCATTCCTCCAGTCACACTGTGACTGGGCATTACAGACCATACAGGATCTCCTTTTTCTCCCCCCTCAATGCTTTTAACTCTCCCATTCACTCTTCCGATGCACATTTCTAACAGAAAGCCTCCTGTTGAACGTGCTAGTCAGATCTGTATGTACTGCAAGCCTTTATCTTGTTATTGGTGAATGTCCTCATGCCTGATGATTTTGTAAATTACCCAATAAAAAATATTGAAAATCAGAAAGGCTAAAGGGAAACAAGCTCTGGATATTGTGTCTATCTTCTTGGCCCGGTCAATGAATACCTTTCTCATCTCATCAGGGCTTTTTGGTGAAGCTTGAACAGCAGTATTTGGCCCCTTTTGTGTCACTCCATCTTTTGCTTGCAGACATGGGCCCATTCCATACGCTGTAAAGCTAAATTGACTTTCCCTTACATCATCATCCTGTTTAAAGAAAGGAAAAAAAAATAAAGAAAAAAAGCAAGATTTTTATTTTTAATTTACAGAAATCTTACTAATTGTTCAATAGCAAATACTGCACCTTTACCTTAGAGACTTCTTGAGTCCACAGTTTATCTTAACTGGTTGAAATTTCAGCCCTATCAGTGTCTGTCAAAAATACTGCAGCAGCTTTAACAAGCACATAATTTTCCTATTTGTCTATAGATTCTGTAATCTATTTAGAGAAAAGAGAAAGCTTAGTAAACTAGTGGTAATCAGGCACAGAACTTATTTGGTTTAATTTTCCCCATTTACAGTTAGTATCTGCAGTCTTCAACTGGGCAGACTTCACACTGGTCTTTTAGACAACAGCCATTAACTCTGTACATTGCTTAACTTAACAAAATGGGATCCTGGCCTCTAGAGATAATCATCATACAAGCACTAATGATGTTCACATTAATTATATTAGTGAGAATCCTGCCTGTTTGGTCACTGTATATTTAGTTAATCTTATATGTATGCCTTCTTTCTGCTCTTCCCTGTGAATACATCTGATAAGGAGAATAATATGTAAGGTGTCTTAGTTTAAAATACAGTGAATGAAAGCTAAAGGCCAGATTTTTTTTCTGACTCATTCTTCTGTCAATCCAGAGAAAAACTGGCAAAGACATTTCGGATTCAGGGAGCTATAAGAGAAAATGGTTTTTAATCACATGGCACAGAAACAAAAGTAGATGGTTTGAAAATATACATATTTTCATAGCATGCACTTCAAGAAATTGAATTCTGTCTGGAGACACATTTTGTACTTCTCTTTACCTGGTCATATGTATTCTTAAATAATAAAGGAGGTACAATTGCAGGCAAATAAATGATACATGGACTGTAAAGCCAGGAACAAATTTCCTTCTGAAATATATTCCAATATATTCCTTCACTATTTATGCTATGCATGTGATAGCCACGTGATTTTCGTGGCACTCGTAATTTTTAAAATACTGAGTTTAAATTCAGAATTTCCTATTTTTCATGTCTAATTTAGCCTAGTTGCTTTAGGATTCTACACTTTTATGAAGTATGGCAATTTCTTTAATAAGTATTTTGGAAGATAATTTCTGTAAGTATTAGAAAAATAAATGAGCAGCAATTTTCCTTTTGTAAGAGAATTTTTGATATTTTAAAGCTCTTCCTAGTTTAAATTCAAATAAAAGGGTAAAAAAAAAGTATTTATCAAAGCAAGTCAAATAATTAGCATTTCAGTTCAGTAATTCTGAAGAATTTTTTTTATATTGAAACCTCTTACTTTATACCAATGTAATTTCTCAGTGAACATAAGTTTAAATACAAACCTCCACATTTGTAATTTTTAAAATGACTGTGACATTTGGAAAATCTGAAAATGTTTTGGAATGGAGAATTAATTCTAAATATATTTACATATTTAAGGTTTCAGTTAAGTAGTACTTGCTAGAAGAACCATTGTTAATTACTTAGTTTAAAAAAAATCCAGTTATGTTTATTAACAATATTAGTTGAGTAAATGCGAAAGAATGTAGATCAGTTACTAAGTTTGAAGTAAACTAGTTGGCAATCATCATGAGCATCCAGAAGAGCTGTAGTTACCACCCAACTGCAATACTTTTTCATATATGTAAATTGAATAAATTTATAGACTAATATAGTTAACTGAAACTACTATACTTTAAATCTGTATTGGAACTCTCCTATACAAACAAAAAATAAAGAAAAATTAACAGGAAAGAACAAGAGGAAAAGCCACTGACTGACTTCAATATGGAAATGAATAACAGAAATACAAAATGATAGGATCATTTTTTGATGATGTGATAAAACAAAGATCTAATGACTACAGTAGTGTTCCTCTCCTGTCAGAAAAGAATGAGAAATTACTTCTTTATAGTAGTTGTATTCCAGAGAGTTGTAGTATGTTCCAGTTAACAGAAGTTACAAACATGTGGACTGTGAGAATTTACACTAAACTTGCCATTCCAACACCTTAGTATGTACAATTCAGGGTTTAATTCATTTCATGCTTCTCAAAAAAATAATGCTTATGATTACACAGGCTCAAAAAGATAATAAAATAATTCTTCTGAGTAACGTGTTTCAGTTATGTATGTTTTCAAGATGAGGCTCTATATACTGACTTTATTGTCTCTGTTCTATGCTTACCTGAACTGAATGATCCCCTAGAATGGTTTGAAAGGCCAGGTCTCTGCTTATTTTATTGCCTGCAGACATCTTGGATTTAGTCTGCAAGTGGGCTGGAGTCTAGCATTTCTGCCCATGTTTGTAGGCTTGTGCCTCCATGAGGGCAGGCAGGATGGTTGGAGCCTGCCAATTCAGACCAAAGTGATAGGGCTAATAGATATGCAGGAAAGGGCACCTTCTGGAGCATTGTGACATGCCAGGTACCAGCATACCTTTTTTTTCTGAGGTACCAGCTGGAATATCCAAAATGTGGTTCTGCAGGTATTCAAGGAGGTTCATAATGCAGAAAAAACATTAATTTGGCTTCAGGTTCATATCTGAGGGTGCTCGTGCACAGCAGAAAAGATACAGTTACTGTTATTATTGATAACATTTGAGTGCTGTTTCAAAGGTATTTTTATAAAATGTCAGTGGCACCCCATTTGTTTTTATCAATTGACATGGCTACAGTTGCACTTTTTGACTAGAAGTATTTCTCATGATGCATGTGTTCGAGTTCACAGCTGTTGCAATCGTCTAATGGAATCATCCTGTATGTCCCATCTGAGAATCTGGACAGTGAATCTTCCTAAAGAAGTCCTGCATTTTGGTTGATTTTTTTTTTTTTTTTTTTTTTTAATGTAGCAAGGAAGCTTTTTTTGTCTTTTGTATACTTGTTTAGTGCATCAACACTAGAGAAATGAAAATGAATGATTTCTTACTGATTTTTGATAGAGCTTTTAAAATCTCATTATGAATGAACTTTAATAAAGGTTCAACATGAATGCTCTTTTCAAACCTACGGCTTTGGAATTAACAAATTGAAAGTTATTCTGCATACAGCTACATATATATATTTTATCATATCTATTAAAATTACTGTAATTAAAGATAGGAAACAAATTTAGATAACAATTTTTATTTGGAAAGTTAGAATTCTTTGGAGGCCTGAGGGATATAATTTCAGTTTATCTTCATATCAGCATTGTTCCACAAAATACATAGCTATAAAGTATTAGAAAGCTATCAGTTTCTGTGGCTCTGACTACAATGTTTTCTGTCCGTATATTTAATAATACATTTCTCTTGAAGAGTAATATGCATAAGGGCTGAAAATATCTCCATAGCCTTTTGACTGTAGATTGTGGTAACAGCCTGAAGACTTATTTGAGGCCTTGGCTTTGGTTATTTGAACACTATATTTTTCACTGTTAGTTTTTGAGAAGAAAATTGCTATTGAATTGTTTTGCACTACACACAACTTGGTTTTAAATGCTGATCTGGTAGCAACTGATTTCTTCTTGAACTGATGTCACTGTTTCCTTGAAGTTGCAGAAAGTAAGATTTTAATACTATGTTTTAATCCAGATTTAAACAGATCAAAATGGATTATAAAATTAACAAGACAGGTACCTTTATTAACATTACACATCATCACATACAGGTAGCAATGAAGGTATATGGAGTTCACATGGGAAGACATTATTTCAGACAAAAGGACAGGGCCTCTGTTAATGATTGGATATCACATTATGACAAATGGGACATCATCTTTATAGTTTACCCTTAAATTTGTACTGTAGATTTGAGGCAATGTCCCGTCTATAGGTCCTGTGCATCTCAAGCCATTGCTATGCTGAAATGATTCACTGATTTCATTTCCATCAAGAACTCCCTCAAAATACTTTCATCAAAACGGAAGTGTTGACCAAAAAGAAAACAAAAGAAAAGAGGTGTGATTACCATTAGACAATCTAGTTTGCATGTCTATTTTCCTCACTAAAGATACGGTGATCTTTAGATTTTTGAAAATAGAATTAAAAGATTGATTATTCCTGAAAACTAAATATATCTAATTTAAAATCAGTGTTCTTCAGTATATGTACACAGTTAATGTTTTTTTCTGAACAGTGTAAATGCAACTAAGAAAAAGCCCTGGTCATAGATATGTTTCAATATCCCCGTGCAACTTCTAATTCTGCCACTTTTTTTTTTTTCCTTTTGTCTTTCAAGACTGAAAGGAGTGTAACTATAAATGAATAATTAATTTGCATTCATTCTGAAGGAACGTTTCCATCACATTAGTAATAAAAAAAATTGTGAAATACTTGTGTTCGTTGGCCAGACTTTTTTCTGATAGAAATAAAGCACTATGGAACATATACTGACTACCAAATGAAGTCTCAAACTGGGAACCAAAATTCCTCCATTCTCAGAATTCATTAATTCATTATGCCTTTTATGTAATCATAAAGAAATGAGACCCTTTTTGAAAAATCTCCTATACTTATTGTGATGCTTATTGGAAAAGAGCAATGAATAGGTTGCATATTATGTTACAATAACAGATTTTATTTATAAATGTATTTAGAACACAATCCCAAACACTTCAAAATTTTTGTTAGTTCTGTACAAATTGGATCAGGCCTCTGAAAAGAAATTTGCCTTTCAGTTATTTGGAATCACTGAATGAGGTCCATACTTACAACCATAAAAACGGTAGCCAGAGTGTGCAGTTATACCTAAGAATCACCTTTGCTGCTGTTACTGTTGTCTGTGAAGAAAAGCTGCAAATGTACTAGATGGTGTAAGAAAGTGGCAGTGACTGTAGGTGGAAAAAGCATAAGGAAAATGGCAAGGATAGATGAGCTTCAGATGCTGAAATGTTTTGATACAGCTCTGTACATAAATACATATTGTATAACTGAAATTTACCATAAAACTTAGCAGCTCTTATTTTGTTTGCTACACTTGTTTACTGCAAGGGTTTTATCTGAGTTAGATCATATGCTTTTTAAGAGAGACATTTCAATTCTCCTGTGTTTTTTTAATTAACATTGAGAAGGAACAGTTGATGGTTTTGATTAAATTTAAAAAAGACCTTGGAAAAACTATAATTTTTTTTGAGGATATGTTTAGAGTTAAAATGGAATTCAATGATTCGGACAAAGAGTCTGAAAAACACAGAAGGAGAGTCAGTAGGTGCAAATACAATGTACTACATTTAACCAGGAATAATCAACTTCAAATGTAAGATGGAAAGTGAATGTGTCTGTAGTAGTTCTGAAAAAAGACTTGGGATTTATGGAAGGTCACAATTTTGATACAGGTCAATACCACGTTGTTAAAAAGGCAAATGGCAAACTGGTTTGGATAAACAATCAGTTAACTTGCATCATGTGATCATTCAACTGACCTCAACTGTTACTGGCTAGGCTGCATGTTGCAAACACAGTTTTGACGAATTATATGGACTTATTAGGAGAACTTCCAGGAAGGAGAATGAGAATGAGCAAAAACCAGACTGTACCAACTAGGAATATTTACAGAAATGATGACTGAATGAAAATGTATAAATGGCTACATAAAGGAATGAAGTAGTCTGTTCTCTCTGCCCTTCTAGACAAGCCATAAGAGGCCAAAAAAGGCACGAGTAAAAAATTTTCTAAACTACTGGAATAGATTATAGTGGAGCTTGTGGAATTTTTATGACTGGGATGAATGAGGTATAACTGTTCCTTAATTAGGTCAGGAAAATGGATTAATTGAACTCCCAAGGGCATTCCAGCACTGAAATGTAATCATCTGATTGTTGCTAGAGTTACTTGGCAAAAGTAAACATTTCTTGCAACAAGCATGTCTTTTTAATTACAAAGAAAATAGACTTTGGAAATACTTCAACTGCTCGATTGCAATCAGGTATTATTCGTACAAGTTCTCTTCTATCAATATATACTTGAGATGAAACATTTCCAAAACCATCTATTTTTTGACATTTGCAACAGTTGAATCACTAGGAATTTTGATATATCCTTGCAGGTAAAATGCCAGTGTCAAAAAATTCTGTATTCATCAGCTGAAATTCACCTGGTAGAAAAACCTAATCCTAGTAAAATATCCCAAGATGCTAAACAGATAGGATGAAAATGTTTAACAAATTATCCAAACTGCTCTATTTTTCAAATCTATTTGGACATAAATACTGAATAGAATAGCAGTTTTCACTTTGAAAAGAAAGAGAATTTAATGTTCAGGGAAGCCCTTGAAGTTTATTTTAAACACAGCCTTTTAACCTAACTTATTTTCAAATCTTTTGACTTTGTGGTCAAATTAACATTTCTTTATACGTGGTAGTTTTAGAAGTCAATACAGTCTAATTCCTGAGATCCAGTGACTGTTTGACCTAGTCCAAAGGGATGACAAACACATACAAAACTTTATAATCGTGCGCCATAGTAACTGACTTTGAAAAAGTCAAAAGAGAAAGGAAACACAAGTTAATTTGACTTATGATCCTACGGCCTGCATTTCATGTTGAAAATTGTGGTGAATAAATAACACTTGTGGTAAGGAAGGCTAGTTATTAACTGCTTTCTTTAATCCATAATACATCCTTTACCATTTGTATACCAGAGGGTTTGGGATGCATTCCAATTTTTTGGAAGAGATAAAATCTCCATGCTGTAATGTTTTAAGTTTTAGTATACTTGTTAGGCAAGGAATAGTTTAATAAAACACTGAGAAAAAAAGAGAAGCAATTAGCAGAGCTGTCTCTAGAGCTTGAGAAGGTGTATTCTCAAAGGTTAACTCAGCTCTAGCTCTACATAGAAGTGAACTAAGTCAAGAAGCATTCAGTTAAATTATTCTTTTCAGAAAAATGTCTATTTGTCAAAGTCATAACCTTGCATGAGAAGAAAGTATTTTTTGGGTAAATTTAGGCTGAGAAACCTGTCTCATGATGAAACATACAGATATAGGGAGGAAGGGAAAGCAGTATATCTCTGAATATAGTTAATATCCTCACCTGGTTATGTTATGAAGTAAAACATTGAAATGCATGTCTTCATCCTTCAGAATCTAAGGGAAGTACTTGATACTTTACTATAGATCCTGCAGTCTCTGGGTCTAATCCTCTGATTTTATAGGAACCTAGCAGGCAACCTACCTGAAACTAGAAGACTGTCTAATGAAGTGAAAATCTGAATACAGACTTTTAAGTGTGAATTGAAAAATACCATGATATCAAGCACTGATCCAGCAAAACACTTAAGTCAATGACACTACTCGTGCATATATATGTTAAGTGATCTCCTCTTAGAAGTGCTTTGTATATTGTGGATCCTTCCTCACATGCCCCTAGGCTGAAATTGGATTGATCGTGATTGCTAAAGTGTCTTTGGTAAGTTTGAAGTCTTGCTAAGGTGGGGCTGGAAATAGATTTGGGTTGATTCTGAGGAAGGAAGGCAATATTGCCTTCCAGTTTCTAATCCTGTGGTTATAATAATTGATGTGTATTTAAGGAAATAAAAAATATCACTGAAGTTGAATATGACAAATTTGCCTGAGATCCAGAAGACACTATAATACATGGTGAAAAAAAAAAAAAATGGACTAGAAGTATAGTCACATAATATATCACTCAGCACAGCTCTTTGTATTTGATACATGACACATTTGTTGTGGCTCACCTGTGCCCTGTCCAGTAATCTGTCTCTGCCTGTATTATTTCCCCTATTTCAAACCTTTAAACAGCTTTCCGAGAGCTGCCATGTTTCAAAAACAAACACCCTGTCACAAAAATTCTGCTTTCCTCTTTTGTGTCTTAAAGTATTTTTTCTGTTACTGTCAGTGAAAGAAAAATGCACATTTTTCACAGGGACAAATGTTAAAAGCAGGTACATGCACTATGAATCATCCTCAAGGCTACAGTACATGAGTTTCTCTCTGCACCTGAAGAGGTCTAGGACTTGACACACAACAACAGGCAAATGTATGAAAATGTCATTTTCATTTGACTGTTCATCCTGCCTTTTAACATGGAGTCTTGCTAGCAGAGACTACTTAGGTAGGCATTACAACATTGCAGATTTTCAATATCTTCTCAGTAAAAGAGAAACAACCTGTAAAACATCTTCTTGTGATGTAAGCAATAAATGGCGTTAAGCCTTCAGGAATGAAAGATGACTGAACTGTTATGTTGCTACAGTCACTTGCATCTGCAGAAATATTATAAATAGTGACAGAAAGCCAGTGGAAAGGCTCTGCATGACATCAATGGTGGGTACTCATTTAATGAGTAGGTTGGAGAAATACTCTTTCAAAAATCAAAAGTAGGAGTTACATATTGTTGCAAGGAATTTTGTTTATTACTTGATTTATCTGCAGACTTCAGAATTCAATCCTGTAGCTTTCTTAACTGTTTGACTCTGCACAATGGTAGTGGTTTATTTTACTGGTAGTCTAGATACCTTCAGCTATGAAATAAATATTAATAACTATTGCTTTGCTATATTAAAGATTCTTACTAGTTGTATGAACAATTTACACTAAATTAGCTTGACAGAAGGAAGAAACCTCAAACTTCTCAGCCTTTTAAAGTAAAATGTTTGTTCTTCCACTAATAATATTAATTGAATAAGTATTTTTTGTATTTTTAAAAAAAATATATGAAACATAGCTGTTAAGGCTTTGAACTGAATACTAGAATAAAATTAGGAAACATTATTTGTTGAATCTCAGTGTAGTACAAACTGCTCCTTGTACCAGTAACATTCATCCACTGAAGTATAATCTTAACTCTTCTAACGGAGTGAAATTCATGTTTGTGCAGATGGTTCCCACATGGCCCATGCCTCATTTAAGTCCTTCTTAATCCTTCTTTTGAGAATTCAAGTGGGATTTATGCAGTGCATAGTCCTTGTAGTGACCCTCTGACTACAGTGAATTTCATTCTGTGCTGCCATTTTATTTATATTGCCACTTTAAGCTGCAGTATGTTTTCCAAATTAACCCTATATCCTGGCATATATCAATCTCAGACTCTCTTTCAAAGTTGTGAATGCTGTTACTTTTACCTTGTTCTTCTTCCTCTTGCGGCGGAATCGCAGAAGTTCTTTATGCTGCCTTGACACAAAGTTTACAGCTGCATACTCCAAAAGTGCAGAAAATACAAAGAGCAGGCACACAGCCATCCAGATATCAATCGCTTTGACATATGATACCTATGGAGAGAATAGAGCAGAAGACTGAATATGTTAAAACCAGAGATGTGAAGTTTAGTATTTCATGTCAGGGGTAAATGCATTAATATCTCCACATCTCAAAACTACTTTTATGAAACAAAACTTAACATGAAAGCTAGATAATTAGAAGGACAACAATTCAATCTAGAAATGCTAAATATTATTTTTTAAAATTTAATCTTTCACACAATGTTTTTACTGTTTATTACATTAACAGTTCCTCATAGCGTACTGTGTATTTTACCACAAACTGAATAATCCACGAGAAGCACATGTTCTTCCTCCATTTGTACTGCTGAGATCTGTGAGTGATACTAAGGAACTAGAGAATAGTTTATAGGGGGACCAGTGGGAATTCCTATATTATAATGGATCTGATTTAAAGTTCCTGGAAGAGAAATTAGGCAGAAGGGAGGTAGATGGAGAACTCTGATGTGTTCATTGTCTACTAATATAGGCATGATAAATCAAAGATATAGGTTCAAATTAGTCCTGTAATTTTCTTTTCTGTTGATGCTATGTTTGGATGCATTTGAATCCATATATTTAAGGCACAAAGCACACTCACCTCCGTTAGGTGTATCTTTTTACTTAAAAAAAAAAAAAAATTAGCCAACCTAAAAATACCATGTTAAAACTAATACAGAAGTGGACTTTATGTATTTTTATTGTATACATTTTATTTCTATTAACTGCAATGGCACATGAAGATGGTCAAAGAATAACCCTTAAAGTAAAGAATAAAATCTATAAAGCATTTCCAAGTCAGAAAACTTAACTATTTAATCATAGAAATATACCTTAAGCTATTTACATTGTGTAGTGAGCCATTCTTTATACAATTGTTTGAAGCTATTTAGCTTCACAGTTTTCTACATTTTAATGTAAATGTGTTTGTAACTAGTGAGTTAATTCATAATGTAGGCAGGTTTTGGGAAAGGAATATAATTGAGAACAGGTTGGGATCTATGACCTTTAGAAATTTGATAATGTCTGATAGTATGTCTTTAGCTACTTGGATTGGGAAAAGGACGAGACTCAATTGCTAAGCAGCATCTATGCAGTACTGAATAACATTACTTTCATCACTTGCTGAGGTTTATGGAATTTAGTAGATATGTGGTTGGCTAAATAGTTGAGATGGGGAAGAAATAGAATATATTTGATTGGTGAGTCAATAAAACCCTAAATATTTCAAAGTTATTTATCTCCTTTAGAAGATGTTTAAATGTTAATAATTAAAACACGTCTTATAAGGTTATCTGAAGGTGTTTATTCACCACATAGCATTATGACTTTGTACTAATGTGGTACAAAGGAAATTCTGCCTACCTTTGGAAGAGATGCTCGTGAGCCTGAGCTTTGTGTTGTCATGGTCAGTACAGTTGTTATGCCTAAAGCCACTCTGGCTGGAGCTGCATCCATATTGATCCAAAATGACACCCAAGAGAGAATGACGATCAAGAGACTTGGTATGTACATCTGGATGAGATAGTAACCCATCTGCCTCTCAAGGTGAAATCGGACTTCAATACATGTAAACTTTCCTTTTTATAACAAAGAAGAAATATTATGTAGAAATAAAATGGTCTTTATTGTCAACATCTAGTGTACACTCTAAAGAATTTACAGTCCATCAAATATATTTGTTCTTTAATGAAAGATGAGAGTTCTGATTTTGCTTCAGTGATTTTTAATATACACAGTCGCCATTATAACAGAACTATCTACTGGAAAGAAAGGGGACAGAATAACTTAAAATTAATAATTCAGTAGCCTCTGGAACTCTTCTTTCCTTATAAAAACAAAATCACAATTAATTATGACATAGGAAAGTTCGTCTGTGTCATCACACTTATTTTTTCCACTTACTATTTTGGAAAAACTGCTGTATGCAAAGAAAAGTCTTTCTCTCCCATTGTCTAAAATCTCCTTTATCTTTTGGTTCCATTTTCAGCTTGTATTTATTATTTTTAATCCAACACATTTGGGAAAATTATAGTGAGATCAGTGTGGGCATTAAGTTATCAATAGGAGATTCTCCTAAATCTCACCCTTTATACCAATTCAAACTGTTCCAGCTCAAAGGTATAATGACCAGGATTCAAACAGAAATTGAGAACTTGAGGTTAGGCAACTTTAGGAAGCTAATTAAATGGCCTAATTTTTCCAGATAATGAACATCAAGCAACTTCCACTGATTTAACCAAACCAGAACAAAAAAATGTATTGTTTGCTCATAGAAATTTCATATAGCATTTTTTTTTTCTCTTATTCAGATAGTTGTTTTTTTTTTTTTTATCCTGTAAACTGTAGATTATTCTACAGATCTTGACCTGGTCTCATTGGATTTTCTAATTCTGATCAATGCTCATATCAGGCACATATCAATGGTGCTGAAGGCCATGGTGGTACTTTAAATAGTGTATACACGAAACAGTTTCTCACAGCAAGAAATATACATACCTCAGTTTTATTCCTTATTTGAATAAAAGCATTTCCCAATTCTAAGTTTAACATGGAAAGTTATATAGTTACTTATTTCATAAGTGATATAAAGTTTTTTGGTTATATTTTCCACTAGTTTTTGATGGTCTCCTAATTCATTTTTATTTGCCAGAATACTATTTTACAGCAAATTGTTCTACATTAATAGTGTTTTAATATTTATCATATTAACAAAATTTATGTAATGAAATTTTTTATGAGCTGATCTGATACTATTTTGATATATTATTATGCTGTGACAATAGCATTAGGCATACAGAAATGAGTTTCAGATGAAGTCAAAGTGAAATGTTTTTATTCTAGGTATAGTAAGTGCTTGAAAATACCTTCTGAACTGCATTATTTTCATAGTAGTTCTCTTAACAGGCCATTAGTTCTTTTTATGGTTTCATAGTAAATGTCATCGTATGAAATTTTTATTCTGTTGAGGCACTAAAAAAGAATATTTAGAAAAATGGTAGTTACAATGTTCAATTTTAAAATTACATGATATATCTCAGGAGTTTTATATCTGCTGGCTCAATTACTATTTCCATTCCTAATTGCCAGTGTTTTCTGAATCCTGTCTACACTCCTGAAATCTGTGTCCCAAATCCTGGCTCAACCATCTGCTGCCCTAGCTTCAAAACTGATTTCTGCTTCAATCAATGAATGAAGTCCTGGTTTAACAAAGTGAATGGGAATCTTGGTGTTTATTTCAGAAAAGGCCAGAATTTCCCCCTACATTTCTCTTCCAGGATCTTCAAAATAATACCTACATGATATATTCTTTTACTTAGCAGTTCAGTATACCCCATATAACTAGAAGTTCTGTACTGACTAGACTTTGTCAGAATCATAATCTTACTTCAAACTGGCTCTTACCCTGAAGATTTTTTTTTTTTTGTGGCATTTGTTATGTTAATTCAGCAGCCTTGGACAGCATCAGTCTCTCTCTCATACATCACAGTAAATCATGGTGGTAATGAGTGACAAAAATGCATCAACCAAATCTAGGTCTCCTGCAAAGCTGTTTGATTTGGTATCACATCAGCAAGAATTACAGTCCAGCATGCACATTTTCTTCTTACAGGGTCCTGTATTCTTCTTTCAAAACAAATTTGGAAGGAAAACTAAGGGGTATCAGAATGGGTAATATATGTATAAGAAGACTGTCAATAATCATTGGCTACTGCTTGTACATTGTTTTTTTTTTTTCTCCAGAGAAGGACAGGATAAGAGATATGAGTGTCTTTCCCGAGTACTCATGTGGGCTTGAATTATTACAGAGCACTCAGCACAAAAATATCATGGTCCTAAACAGGGAGTAATAAATAATATAATGTCTCTGATGTGTATTATCTTTATGTAGTTGCAAGTTTGCCAGGTTTGTCTGAACTGAGGACAAAGAGGGGAATAGCTGTGGACAACAGAACCCTAACAAAATGAAAGAGATTCTGAATGAAATAAGTGCCAATGGAATATATTGTAACCACAGAAATGCAGAGAGATGGGATTATGAAAAGGTCAGAAGTAGGACTGAATGATGTGTCAGAGGAATTATACTGGATAATACTTTTGCTTGGTTTTGTATTTTTGCAAATATCATTGACCAAGTTAAAGAAAAAAAAAAAAGTGAAGTGTATCTCAATGTGGAAAACTATCTTTGCTTAACTCCACAGAATGTGTGACTTAGACTCCTGCCTTTTTCTTAGACCCAGTGAGTTTATGGACATGCCAGTCATCTGTCAGTCAATAACACTGTGTTCTTCATCTGCTCTGTTCACACTGAAAAATTAATATGTGTCAACTCCTGAGGGAGACTAGTGGCTACCCAGGCAGACACTTCTTTCTGTTACTCCACTGCTGACTACTGGAATTTGGAAGTCAGTCTTGGCACTGCAGTTGCAGCGGTTCCTGGTCTGTGTGGAAGGGGCTCTAGGGCTCATATTCTTTTTTTGGTTATTGCTACTGTGGCCAACCTGAGAAGAGCAATTTTCTATCTTAGCACACCTTCACTCTGCACAGCCTCCTCTGACCATGGCAGGTGCTGTTTGAGCAGACGGCTGTGAAGGCAGCAGTATACTTGTGTGATTAAAAGGTACTGCCAGCAGTGTTGGACGTGCAAGGGAAATCAATCTAAGTAGTAGCTTTCCAACCCTAAGGAGTCCTTTTCAGTTTTCTCTGACTCAAACTGCTCCAGAGCCAGTAGTTGGTATATTTTAAATATATTTGTCCCCTTTTAGCAACCCTTAAGATATCCCCTGGGGGAAACTCTTCTTACTGTACCCTTACAATGTCATGGTCATGTTTACAATTGCCAGGAATCTGAGTAGCTGTTTCTGAAGCTACATTGAAAATTTTCATAATGGAGAATAACCTTAGGAAACTGAGGTAAGGAAATAGTGTATCTGAGAAATAATTAATAAAGATGAGTAATGATAATTAAATCACTATGAAATTAAAAATCAGTAGCATAGTAAAATGCAAAATGAAGAAGTATAAACATAAAAAAGGAACTAAGCATGCAGAGATTCAACTCTTAATCCGTGCAGATTGGAGAGATATCTGCTGAAGGTTCTGGTTCTTGATATTATTTTAGATACTAGTAAATCGTAGTCCAGCCTTCCTTATAAGAAAAGCCGTTGATAATGTTAATAGCTGATCTACTCTGAAATATTTTCTGGATGTAGAGAGGACTGTGGCCTAAAGAGGATATATCTTAATGAAATTACATTAAATTATTTACTTAAAATAAGAATTTTGTACCTACTTAATAGAGAATGATTCAAAGCTTGGCAAAATTGAACTAAATTAAATTAAGCAAATCTAAATAAATCTTTATGGAGCCCTGCAGAGAGGGAGTCTTAGATCTGGGAAGCAGATATTTTATATTCTGATTCCAACACATCTGTCAATATGGATATAGACTACACAGTTCTGATTTTACCAGTGACTGATGACCAACAAACAGCCAACCCAAGGGCCAAAAAGTTGCTAGCTATAGAGATTTGCTAACAGAGTCCTCGAGCAATTGAACTGTGATGATGGTCCTCTCCTCTAGCACTGCATTTTTGCCCTTGAAAGACAGCTAGAGACACAGGTTTAACATGAAATTAAGTACTGAGAGACAACAGGAAGGGGAGAGTGAAACTTCCTCAGTGGCTAGGACATTCTCAGCCTAAAAGGCCAATTTCGGTTTAAATCCCTTGATACAATGCAGAGCTTCTCCCATTTGTCTGTTTTCTGGAAATCTCTTTCTTAAGCAGCTCAATTCCTCTACTTCCCATAAAGATACTAAGCATTCAAGCTCAATCTAAGCTTCAAAATTGTGTTAGACAGGGTATTTATTTCTAGATGCTATTCTGAACCTCTGCAGTGTTTATCATTTTTAGACTTGTAAAAATCACAGTTCCTCATTTTATGTGGAAAAGAGAACATGTAGTAAAAGCCAGATGACACTTTATACAGAGAAAAGTAAAGACAGTCCTCTCTTCTAAAAGGAAAAGACTCTTCTAAGACAAAAAAAAAAAAAAAATAGGTGGCCTCAAGAAACAGATTTTGATGCAGTGTGGCTACTGCATTTTATGACTTTGACTGTTTTCTAATGTTTAATACCTTGGATTCCCAAGTTCTCACTAAATAGTTGCCATTGAAATGCTTTGAGTGTTCTTGTCTACTCTCTGTACTTTTGCATGAAGGAGAAAAAGGGCCAATATTTACTCAAAACAAATACCTATTGCGGCATAACACACACTAAGAATAGTTCACAAGATATAATGTACATATATGTATATGTAAAATATGATCCAACTGCAGGCCATCATAGACTTCCCCTTTGCTGTATTTTTCCAGCCCTTCCTTAATGCTGGTTCTGGCACCCATCTTATCATGAATTGGGACACTTCAGTGGGCTAGGTAGTAGAAAGCTAGTCCTTTATGTATGTGTGTGTTAGAGTCCCAGATGGATGACGTTTTGATCAGTACTGTCCTGAAACCAAATCATTCACCATGTAATTAATCAAGGCTTTTTTTAAGTGCTCTGCATGTGAGCCTTAAT